AGTAATTTGACGGTTTTAACCCTTCAACAATTACCGACCGTTATTTAAGTACGGTACAATTTGGGTAAGTTAACGAGAATGTTTTTAAAACTCGAATCTTACAATTCTCCCCCCCCCCCCAAAAGGAGATTTCGTCTCCAAAATCGAATTTAGAGATAGGGAACTTACATCAGTTTAAGAATTCTGGGTACTCCCGCCGCATATGTTTTTCAGTTTCCCACGTCGCCTCACGTTCCGAGTGATTCTTCCAAAGAACTTTTACAAAAGGAATCACTATCTTTCGAGTACCTCTCTCATCGCGATCAAGAATTGCCTCAGGCTCCTCACGATAAGATAGATCAGGCTCTATATGCTCCAAAGGATATTCAATGACGTGTAAGGGATGATAGTTGTATCCTCGCAACAAAGATACATGAAACACATTATGTACGTGGGACAATTATGGCGGTAGAGCTAACCTGTAGGCCACAGCTCCAACCCTTCCCAGAATTTCAAAAGGACCAATATATCTCGGGCTGAGCTTCCCTTTGAGACCGAAACGTCTAATACCACAAGTCGGTGAAACTTTCAAGAAAACTTTATCACCCGATTGAAACTCGATAGGTCGTCGTCGCTTGTCGGCGTAGCTCTTTTGACGAGCCTGAGCCTCTTTCATCATTTGACGTGCAATTTCGACCTTCTCGGTAGTAACTTGTACTAATTCTGGGCCTTCTAAAATACGTTCTCCAACTTCATTCCAACAAGTCGATGTTCGACATTTTCGGCCATAAAGTGCTTCATACAGGGCCATGCCGGTACTCGACTGCCAGCTATTATTATACGAGAACTCAATTAGGTACAAGTAGTTGTCCCAACTTCCATGCCATTCCAACGCACATGCTCGGAACATATCCTCCAATGTTTGAATTGTACGTTCAGATTGCCCATCAGTTTGTGGATGAAAGGATGTACTAAAATTCAAACGTGTGCCCCAAGCTTTATGTAAGCCTTCCCAAAATCGAGATGTAAAACGTGGGTCTCGATCGGAGGTAATCGATACAAGTGTGCCATGAAGACGCACAATCTCACGTTGGAAAACTTCGGTCAGCTTATCAATTGACCAAGTTTATCGAACAGAAAGAAAATGAGCCGATTTTGTCAGTCGGTCTACCACTACTGAGATTGCATCGTGTTTCAAGATCGTACGGGGTAATCCGACTACAAAATCCATAGTTATGTGCTCCCATTTCCATACTAGAATGTTCAATGATTGGAGAACACCACCTGGACGTTGATGTTCAATTTTAACTTGTTGACAAGTGAGACAATGAGCTACAAAGTCTTATATAGCTCGCTTCATTCCTATTCACCAGAAATGGTTCCTCAAATCACGATACATTTTTGTTGTGCCAGGATGAACCGAAAACATAGAGTTATGAGCTTCAGTCAGAATTAAATCTCTAAGCTCCGAGTTATTCGGAACACAAAGACGATCCCAAAACCACAACATGTGATCATCATCAATTCTGAACTCTGAATTATAATTCTCTTGTGCCTGCTGGAAATTTGCCCATAATTCACTATCATTTTGCTGGGCTTCTTTGATCCGAGAGATTAGAGTCGATTCTACCATTAGATTCGACAGAATTTCCGTTTGCGAACTCGGATAAGTTTCTAGTCCGAACCGTTCGATCTCCAAAGCCAACTCTGTAGAAACAATTAAAGAAGAAACTTGTTCCACAGCTTTACAGCTTAAAGCATCGACGACTACATTAGCTTTGCCCGGATGATACTGTATCCGAACATCGTAATCTTTCAGAAGTTCGAGCCATCTTCGTTGACGCATATTTAACTCTTTTAGAGTAAAGATGTATTTGAGGCTTTTATGGTCAGTGAAAACTTCACAGGTCTCACCGTACAAATAGTGACGCCAGATCTTAAGTGCAAAGATCACTACAGCCAATTCGAGATCATGGGTCAGATAATTGACCTCATAAGGCTTTAATTGACGAGAAGCATATGTGATCATTTTTCCGTGTTGCATAAGAACACAACCGAGACCTTTCTTTGAAGCATCAATATAAACTTGAAACCCACCAGTGCCAAACGGCAATACAAGAATAGGTGCGGTAACCAATCGATGTTTCAATTCCTCAAAACTAGATTCTTGTTCGGAACCCCAATTGAATTTGACTCTTTTTCGAAGTAATCGGGGGCAGAGATATTTTAGAGAAACCTTCAACGAATCATCTATAATAACCAGCCACACTCAGATCACCACGAACTCTAGATACGTTCGTAGGTCTTGACCAATTAATGACGGTTTCAATTTTCGCTGGATCAACTTTGACACCTTCGGCAGAGATTACGTGTCCGAGAAAAGATACTTGATCGAGCCAAAACTCGCATTTGGAAAGTTTTGTGTTTAACTTTTTTGTTCGAAGAGTCTTCAAAACAATTTGAAGATGTTGATCATGTTGTTTTCTCGACTTCGAGTAAATCAAGATGTCGTCAATAAACACGATAACAAATTCATCGAGATAATCCTTGAAAACCCGATTCATAAGATCCATAAAGACCGCTGGAGCATTAGTTCGCCCGAAAGACATTACTAAGAATTCGTAGTGCCCATAGCGAGTTCTAAATGCTGTTTTCAGAATATCACAATCTCGGATACGACGTTGATGGTACCCGGACCGAAAATCAATTTTGGAAAAGTATCGTGCCCCTAGTAATTGATCAAGAAAATCATCGATTCTTGGCAACAGATACTTGTTAGGTATAGTTACTTTATTAAGTTCCCGATAATCGACACAAAGACGCATCGTACCATCTTTCTTTTTAACGAAAAGAACTGGGGCTCCCCAGGGTGAAACACTGGGTCGAATGAAACCTTTCTTCAATAGATCATCAAGTTGAGTTTTAAGCTCTTTAATTTCAGTTGGAGCCATTCGGTAAGGAGCCTTGGATACAGGAGAAGCTCCCGGACTAGATCGATGGTAAATTCAACTTCCCGTACCGGTGGTATACCCGGTAAATCATCAGGGAACACATCAAGATATTCAGAAACAACAGGTATGAATGCAGAAGTAGGAAATACCTGTTCGGGATCTTGTAGAGCAGCAAGAAAACTTTCATTGCTGTACTACGTATATTGTTTCACAGTAATAGAGACTACTACACTAACATCTTCTTTTGGAGTACCTTCTTGGAAGATTGCCTCCGGGTTGTCTATATCCCCAAACAAAATGTGTTTGGCATTACAGTCTATTGTTGCCCGATGGCGTGACAACCAGTCAATACCCAATATTAAATCGAAGTAGGACATATGCATTGGAAGCAAAGTGACCTCTCGTATGCAGTCCCCAATAAGCAACGAACAATTGGAAAAATGGGTTAGCACACAAATTGAACCACCCATTGGAGTAGATATTACCACTGGAAATTCGGTGGTTTGCTCATACGATTTTAATCGGGATTCTAATTGTTCAGAAACAAATGAGTGTGTCGCACCAGTATCAAACAAAACATAAACAGATAAATCAATTAATTTAATATGACCCGAAATCATACCCGCTTGAGATTTGCTGCCAGGTAATGCAAAGACTCGTCCACTAGTACTTGGTTGTTTACCTTTCCTTTTGTCAGTTTGGATCCGAGTTTTGAGACAATCTTTTGCCATGTGACCTTGTTCTCGACAATTGAAACAAGAGCTAGTCATCTTTAAACACGGACCCGGTTGACGTCGAAGATTGCATCGATCACAATTAATAACAGGGCTAGAAACATTTTGACTCCCACTTCTAGACAACACTGGAAGTCGTGGCATGAATATATTCGAGCCTTTTTTAGTATCACTGCTCGACTTTGATTTTACAAAACGAGGGTTGCTTTGGGAGAAAGATTCAGATCCGCGTTTCTTATTGTCAACACGTGAAGTTAACAATTGTTGTCGTGATCGATCAATATTCTTTGCTGCATCGACCACTTTAGTAATGGTATTGAAAGAATGATTCAAGAAACAATCTTTATACCTCGAGTTCAAAGTCCATTTAATGGGAATTGAGAAGGACTGAGGTTTTTGTTTGTTAAACCTTTCAAGCCATATATATATTTCTTTCGTTGGTTACCCGAACTGGATATAGGAATTCCAGTATTTGGTGTAGGAACAAGATTTGGGTTCGAAAGAAAATTATGTGCTATTTGTCGCATAGCCTAAATGGCCTGCTGAAGATATGTAGGCATCATACTTAACATGGTCTGACGGACCACATCAGCAATATTTGGTTCACTTCCACCCCCCATTGGATTGGGTTAGGATTTAGGTTACCCTCAGGTTGAGATATGGATTTGCGTGGGTGACCACGTCTCGACATTCTAAAATAAAACAACATGAAAATCAGAATTCAGAACGGTTATGGATTAGAATAACGGTAGGTATAATTAGAATCTAGTATACCCGTTCTTATGTCTACTCATTTCTCACAGGTCAAGCTTACTTTATCTACAAGTCAAAACCTATGCTTTGATACCACATTTGTAACATCCCTCGTCCACGTGGTCCGGAACGAGGCGATGTCACTAACGGGACTTAATTCAAAGACACAAACATTGCAGAGCTACTAATAAACTCCAAATGTAGATTAACTTCTAAAACATGCTTTACAGTCCAAAATATTACATTCTAACAACTATTTATAAGCTTAGAATATTATGCATCTACCAACGAGTTTACAAAACATCATTTAAACACAATCCATCAATTCCTGTAGTGTTCGTGGGGTGGCCAAACCACACGAACTATCGGGCCGGCGTGCAGGCACACACCCCGAGTCCCCCGTGAATTTAACCACGGTCACATGGTGGGTAATCCTAGGATCGATCCATCCGCCCTGGAGCCAATAAAATCGGCCTAGTCCACAAGGTGGGTTCACGTAAGCCACTATTGGGCCTAACCCTRTGGACCGAGTTCACCTRCARGACGCCATGACTAYAAAGCCGCCATAKAAGGCATCCCAAATAATSTGCCCATTAATTGGGTTGTTCTGAAAACCAATAAAACTAAACATGTGCCACWAYCCGGATGGCGTTCATAAAAAAATCAACCTTCAAAGTACTTCATAAAACTCGAAACTACTTCAAAATATAAGAATCAATTTAACAAACTTGAAAGATTCAAACATATAATTCAACAGACTAAAATCAAGAGTTTACGATAAAGATCCAAGAGTTTATATATATATATATATATACGTAATTTATTGACCACTTTTAAGCGATCAATCACAAAGTGGTGAACCATCGTTACGAAGAGTCAACTACAACAACTAAATGCCCAAGAGTCAAAGAAAGTGAAATCCGAACCTTAAGCGGAATAGAGAAGTAAACACGATCAAACAGGATTCACCGTAAAGTTTGACTCGCTCGCGTGCCTAACGAATGCGCAAATCGATTATTACTTAAACGACGTAAGATCATATCCTAAGTCTACTAATAAATTACTTAGGTCCTACATGTTTATAAACAACTTAAACTTCAAATACGACAGCCGAATATGTATTACGAAATTGAGGCAACACTTGGCTTTATAATTCCGATTCGACTTTTAACAGCATTTGACCTTCATTTTCGGGAGCATTTTTACCCTACTTAGAGATCAGTACAGAAAATACTATTTAAACGAAAGATGTAGTATGATATGCGATGAAACTACTGGTTTTCGAATCACCTCATTTGGATTATCCATCTATTTTATACGAATTTTACAAAACAGCAGATCAATCCTAAATACAATGTAAATAGCCCCGAAAACACACTATTTTGAGCCACTTAGATTCATAACTGGATTTTTGAACCTACATAAAAGTTGTAGTATGCATTAAGGGCTTTCTAACTGCAAAATATGAGCTTATTTTGACTTACGGTTTGTAAGTTATACACTGTCAAAGTATGAACCTGCATAGTCGGTAAAATCCGATTCCGCAATTCCCGACTAACTTTTATAATCCAACTTTCATGATTCGCTATATTTACATGCTATAAACATATTCAACATACTAAACCGTAAAACAAGTCCAATGGTCGCTAACCTAAGTTTAATCATGCAATTTTACTCTTTTCGACATTATATCGAACAATTGGTGTACCGTTAAACATATACACCAAATCTAACCATAATGAAACAATAATCTACCATTTTAATTTCTACATCAATTTTATCAATCCTAGCATTTTAAACATAAAATATATCATACTTAAAACAATATCAATCTGTAAACTTAGACATAACATCATTTATATACCGGTCTAAAAAAATGCTAACGTATACACCCTAATAAAAATGAATGAAATCTATACCTTTATGAAGGGTTTGAATAGTGGATTCCGAATATATAATCGTTACTTTGATTGCTTCAACGATTTGAGAAATATTTTAGAGAGAAGAAAAGAAATGAGAGAGAGAAATGAGACGGTGAATATGAAGATGCAGAAGCCGACGTTGGCGGTTTTTTTTTAACTTTACATATATTATATATATATATATATATATATAGGCTGGTTCAAATAGAAACCAACCATATGGTACAAACTATGCAAACTAATCGTTCATTTTATCATCAAACAGTTATTATTAAATGAGATTAAATAATAAATAATTTAATTAATGTATTAATTGATATGTGTATGAACAATTGTTCAAAGGGTAAATTGGTAAAAAAAATTGAGTTTCCCTCCCTGTTCCTATTCTATACATATTATACGCTGTGAACATATACTTCATATTGAACTTTATGATCACACTCTGTTCATATTGCTGATTCCGTTATGATCACACTGCATTTGAATGTGTGAACGACCACAGTCGCTGATCACATGAACACATGGAGGCAGCGAAAATGGCATGCACCGTATGACATCGTCCATGTGTTTGTGTGAACAACGATTGTGTCTTGCAATRAAAACAAGTTGTTCATAGACTGCAMGCGATGCACAAATATGAACATTTTCAAAATCAATAATCGTTGTGCATGTGTGCAGATATGAACATAGACTACAAGCGCATTATGTTCATGCTGATGATTTCGATGTTCATACTTCCTTTGGATCTGTTCATATGTTGAACGAAACGAAAATCTTGTACACTTAGACAACCAATTTCAATATATGTATAAAATCAATTGAAATGAA